CTGCATCCAGTTTTGGTCACCACGATGTAAAAATAGAGACTCTAGAAAAAGTACAGAGAAGAGCAACAAAGATGATTAGGGGACTGGAGGCTAAAACATATAAGGAACGGCTGCTGGAATTGGGTATGTCTAGTTTAATGAAGAGAAGGGCGAGGGGGGACATGATAGCAGTGTTCCAATATCTCAGGGGCTGCCATAAAGAAGAGGGAGTCAAGCTATTTTCCAAAGTGCCTGAGGGCAGGACAAGAAGCAATGGGTGGAAACTAAGCAAGGAGAGAAGCAACCTAGAACTAAGGAGAAACTTCCTGACAGTGAGAACAATTAACCAGTGGAACAACCTGCCTCCAGAAGCTGTGAATGCTCCAACACTGGAAGTTTTTAAGAAGAGACTGGACAGGCATTTGTCCGAAATGGTATAGGGTTTCCTGCCTGAGCAGGGGGTTGGACTAGATGACCTCCAAGGTCCCTTCCAACTTTTTATTATTATTATTATTATTATTATTATTATTATTATTATTATTATTATTATTATTATTATTATTATTATTATTATTATTATTATTATTATTATTATTATTATTATTATTCCAGCTAATTGGTGCTTCTTCAGGGCTCAGCAGAAGCATCAGGATCAGCACCGAGCTCCAGCTGGAGCTTGGTGCTGATCCTGGTGTTTCCACTGAGCCCTGACAGCCCCAAAGAAGCACCGAGCAGCTGGAAAGCAGCACTGATCCTGGTGCTTCCGCTGAGCCCTGACAGCCCCAAAGAAGCACCGAGCAGCTGGAAAGCGGCACTGATCCTGGTGCTTCTGCTGAGCCCTGACAGCCCTGCAGCTCCAGCCATCTCTTGCTCAGGCTTGTGCCGTGCTGCCACCGGTTCAGCTCATTTCCCTCCCCCGCTACCACTTTTCTAGGATGGTCACGTACCACCTGCCAGATGCCAATGTACCACAGGTGGTACCCGTACCACTGGTTGAAAAGCCCTGGCCTAGAGGTGGAGCTCTCGCCTCACAGTCAAGAGGCTATGAATTCAATCCTAGGTCGTGGTAGATATTTCTCTCTCTGGGTGCAAAGAAAAAATAACTGCTGTGAGCTTCGCATAGGCATCAGGAAGAGCATCCAGCCAGTAAATGCTCAGCTCCATTCAGCCACCCAGACTCTATCCCAATGCAAGGAATTACAGGGTCATTAAAAGAAAAAAAAATACAAGCTTCATCCATAGAAGTAAAACCATCTTTTTGGTTACACCATGCACAATAAATTGGTAAATGCCAGATGTTTGATGTACAGTTCAGCATGACATTCACATTCTGACATTTTTTTTCTGAATACTATATAAACAAATGTAGAAAAAATGATTCAAACCAAGATAGTGAGAAACTAGCCAAAAATACATTAAGGGTACTCCTCCTCCCATATTGCACTTTCAGATTACAGAATTGAAATTGACTGACAACCCTTAGCAAATTTACTGAGAACCCAATAAACATTTCAACTTTCGATCATAAGATATATAATGTTCTTTAAAATGCTGTTGATTTGCTCAAATGGGATATTCTAACTCCTCGTTCCATATTTCTCATCAATAGTGATGTCTAATTTAGACATTAGTTGTCTTTATAATTGAACTATACTTACAAATGAAATTTAGAATTATTCAGAACTATCCAATAAAATTAATTATTTCCAAATTTCTGATATATAGTGCCCCTATACTTAGGATAGTAAACGGTAGCAATTTCATAACAGAGATGATTGCTAATTCATTTCCAGGGATTAAAAGGACTGCGTAGGAGATGACCAGGCTGAGCCCGAGGGAAGAGTCAAATGTGTCATAAGTCATGAGTCCTTGCATGTCTGCAAGAGATCTAATTCCAGCCCATCTTGAATGCTTTCTTAATTCCTGCTCATTTCTCTTGACTGTTAGTAGCTCAGATTCTTGTAGAGAGCTTGAGCTTGCAATATATTTTTATACTCATCTGAACTGCCTGAATTTCCTGATTCCCCCAGAGCTCGGCAAACTGGCAAGTATATTTAAATCATTGTACAGTTTGGGCCCATGATAGAAAGTATGTCCCTACT